GTTTCCAACCCTCATACGTTCTCCTCAACAGTCCTGTCTCATTGCACTACAACAATCTTATCAACCAACCTTTTTCATTTTGTAGAAGCAGTTTATTTCTCCTACGTTTAGTTTTTTAAGTGAGGATCCGCTGATCTCTGCCCCCACTTTAACGGTAGGAGTATTGTTTCTCTCCTTCCTCCCTAGTTCACCATACATTTCAGAGTGTTGACTATTATATTAAAATGACGATATGTTGGCGGATGTGAATTTATCTGCCTACTATACTAAACGCTCCCGCTGCCTAAGTGGTTGCTCACGGAGAGCAGCATTTATCAAAATTGTATTTATTTTTCCAAAGCACTAAGTTTGCAATGACGAGGCCGTCCGGGCCTAAAATATAAAATTCATTTATTTATCCCGTAGTCGAATAATGTCACAAACCAGGTCCAAAACAGTTTACTTTAGTTTCATTCACTCTGGTGTAAGGAAAAGTATCAAACGCCTACTATTACAGCCGACCACAAATAATAATAGTCATTTCCCTTTCGAAAATGGGTTCTACATGGCTGACAATAATCTAGGCACATATAAATTTTACTAGCACAAATCGTTACGTATTTGAAAAGGGACAATAAGCACATACGCATCATTTTTTTTAAAAATCCCAGTTTTGTGAGATGTGCAGAAGACCCTTATCATGATATGTCTATTCATTCATTTATCTTTAATTTCAGTTTGCTTGATGTCTCTATTGATGTGCGGTTTAATGCGCGACTCGTTAAGTTCAAAGCTCCTATAGATCATCTTCATTGTGGCTCAACAGGTTTTGCCGTTTTGCATAGCTTTGCTTCCTGCAATCCGTTTTAAGCGGCAGTGTACATTATCTGGTTTGCATCTGATTTATTTCTCACGGTTAGTGATCGATTACCAAGAGGGCGGATGCGCACGTTTGTAATTAAAGTGGACATAGCACCAATGCAATTATAAGAGGCCTTTGCCCTAATATTTCAATATCCGACAAGCCGCACGTAAGTCTGTGACTCCTGATTTTACCCCATTGATAAAATGAGTACTAATTAGGTCTTAAGCCACGTTGGCATTTACCGTAATAAGACTGCAGTGTGCGAAACTAGCATACGGTAAAGCAAAATCACAGGAAGCTCATGTGATAAAATCGAAATACATACATACTTTTACACATACCTCACCTTTTTCACCTATATTTGCTTATCTACATGAATTAAGCACACGTTCGGTCAAGGTCGTAGTACCTGATCTTTCTAAATCGTGCACATTTGTCGTTGCGCGCGGCATACGAATGCGTTCGACCAGATTTTAATTCCTTAACTTTGGCATTTTCATAGTTTTAGTCCATTTATTCCTTTCTTATTCAAACTTAAATTATTTTGATTATTTTTTTTATCAGGATACTGATTAATCGTGCTCATTCATTTAAATCCGAGAATTTGTTATACATTTTGTTGAATTCAAAGATATACCTTGTTTATAAATAAGCAAGGTATACCTTGTTCGCTTAATCGAAGTAGCCATCTGGTTACCCAAAATTCTAAGCGGCAACCGTAACGTTTCTCTGTGGCAAATCAATGCGTTTAATTTTGTATATTGACATTAATTTCGTGGAATTTTAACTCCAGTTAACTGGGGATAAAACAAACAACGGCAGTTGCAAAGATAAAAATCATGCCTTTTATTGTTCTTTTTTACTCCGAACTGAACTTGTATGGCCCGTTTGTGGGCACAACTGCAAGTAGTTCTAGCTTACCACACAGTGTGTGAGCTTACTTTCATGCATCCTATTCAAAACATGATTCCACCTAGAATCCAGTGTATACCGAGTTTCTTCATGATCTCCTAGAATCCACATGAATATTAAGCCGAAACTGTTCGCAGTTAGTTTTTGCAAAACTCATTAGGAAGAAGGAAATCACGAACCAGATGTTGAAGAACTTCTGCTACATCGAAGCTGTGCAACATGTGCGATCGTTACCCGTGGAGCGGCGCAGTACGTGACCTACTCGGAGCTGGCTTGATCAAGCATGATCATGGCCGCCCCAAGTAAACGAATCTTCAATTAACTTATTGGTTCCGTTTTACCTGCCTTTATTAACACCGTTTTCTTTATCTGTGATCGCATAGGTTTCCTTGAGGAGATCCGTGCTTCTTGCGTTACACAGCCTGATAGTACTCTGTGATTTGCGTTAACCGTTTATACTATCTGTTTGAATATTGTCGCTTGCCGATAAATTCAAATTCTTCTTAGTTTTGATGCCGACAAGCATGACAAGCGTTAGAGCGCCTTTCTTCTGTGTGGGACTGCCTGGATTCTTTTAAGAATGATTAAAGTCTCTTTTCATCTTCAAAGTCTTAACCTTTTATGTATTTTGCTTTGCCGAGTATGTGTGTGTTCTCTCGCACCCCGACTTGTATCTCTGGCCGCGTTATATTTCGGCTTGGGCCGTTTTATTTTGTATGGGTTATTTGCACGTTTAATCAACTGATATGCTCTGATGTTGTCTCCCTTTATGCTTAACTAAGATGTATAAGAGTAGTACATGCAAAAGTGTTCAAACTGCGCTTGTCCTCATGTAAAGTAAATCTTGTTTCTCGTCAGCAATGTCGTCGACTGGAGCTTATTTCAAGTTGGGCGAAAATGCGTTGGCTGTCCCCATGGAGCTGCATAAATTGAATCGTGCAAATCTCTGCCGTCGCATCCAAAAAGTCTGGTCTGACCTCGCAGCCACAACAGGAGGTGCGCCAACACAGGACCTTGCTGGAGTTTATATTCTTCTTCAAGGAGGCTCCGCCGTTCCTCATGGTGGTTCCGATGCTGATGATGTCTTTCGGCAGGTAAATAAATTATTTATTTCAAAAGTGATATTCTGAGCTTTAAACAACTTTCCAGTATAGCCTAACTTGATTATTTTAACTGCTCTCACTTTGTGAGTGTCACGATCGATTGAACGTATTAAATATTTTACGATTAACGGCTGATATTTTTCTCACCCCAGGAGTCATACTTTCATTGGGCCTTTGGCGGTTTAGAGCCTGATTGGTACGGTGCTATTGAAGTGACGACTCAACGCGCGATTCTCTTTGTCCCCGAAATTCCTGAATCGGTGGCTGTGTATATTGGGGAACCCCTATCGCGTGCTCAAATTGCGGAGAGATACGCTGTGGATGAAGTTCATTTCACCAATAAAGTATGTGCCAAATTTGCACTTATTAGTCTGCGAAACCCCGAGGTTACTTTTTCTCCCCACTTTATTTGTCTATCTATTGCTGCAATATGAGGAATTGACACGTTGATATTATAAGTGTCTCCTCTACGCTTTTACCATTTTTATCATTTTCACGCCATATTCTTTCGGACTCTTGCCTATGCTTACACGTCAACCTTTCCCCTTTTAGATCTGCGATTTCTTCACCGACCACAAGGCTGCACTGCTGCTTACTTTGGTAGGCTTTTTGTTTGCAATCACATGACCTGTCCCTATCGATGTCCTTTCTATTATGGCGATTTAGTCTAGTTACGATTTGTCGTCTTACTTGCCATCGACATTACCGTCTGTCAAGGCTGTTTTTGTCACAACCTGGCATGTTCTGGCCTGTCTTATATTAGTTTGCCGTCAGTATACAATGCGAGGGTTTATACGGACTCTGTGAAAGTTTCGTATGCCAAAAATAGGACAGGCATATAACAGAATACGGGGTTTGAATCGTCTGCTAAAATATTCGTACTTGTCTTGTTTTTCGTGAATCTGAAAATTAATGGGGGGAAGGGGGGTGGAGCAGTACAGAGTAAGGAAGAAAATGCCTGTTTCAGTAAAGTACCAATTTACGGACTAAGAAGTTAATGGAGGAGAACAGTTCTACGGCCTAAAGTACACAGGGCAGATAGTTGATCACCGTATTTTCCACTGTTTTAGTTCTCCCCTGGAAATTTGAAATCATTTATAATGCTCTGAAGCATGAAACCCTTACATCTTTTTATATACTCACCAACTCACACTTAACATCCCACTATGCTCGCTTGAAGAGACTGAAATTCCCCGACTTGTACCTTGTGTATACGTAGCGGTAGGTTAGTTATGTTGTAATAGTAGCCAAGTCGATATGTTACCACCTAAGTATGTCTTGCGTAAGTCCTCAAGGAAGAACACGACAAGAAGAGCACAACAGCAGAAGTCTTTATGTATAAAAGGCACAACGTATTTAGGTCAACAACAAAGTGTACCCTAGGTCCATTGAGCCAATCAGCTTCTTGTCTGGCGTAGGTAGTGGCAAGATTGGCTGGTGACTCATGGCTGACTGCAACTTGAATTTCAAATTATAGATTCTCTAAGTCTGTGTTCACCTCGTGTAGGCCAATCGACAGCCCACTGTGAGTGCGGCTAGCGCTTGCAAGCTAACTGCTTGCTAAAACTGTCCTAACAAATTGTTCCATTTAGACCGATA